TGGTCTATGAGCTGGTGGATGGTTCCGTAACGGCCGGAAGGCGGAGAAGAGGCCTCAGTAGAATTATGGTCCTCGCCCGTCGCGACACCGATATCTAGAATGCCATCGAAAACGTGGAGTGAACGAAAAACGTGCGCAGATGGTTCCACGATAGCGGATAGATCGGTATCGTTGCCCGAAAACCCACGACGGTGCAACCTCGTATCTTTTGTCTGGTCGGCTCCGGTGCTTCTGCGCATTCGCACCGGCCGCATGTCCTACCTTGAAGAACCTTTAGAGACCCCTTTGCCTCCACCTTTCCTCCCTTTGGCGGCCCTCGCCATGATGTCGTCGCAGGATTGCTGGAGCTCTTGGAACTTAGGGTGGTCGTGCATCTCGGCCCACTTGTCCCAGTCGTTCGCCCACGTCTGTTTGATGGTATTCCCGTCAATTTGAAAAGTAACCGCCAGTTCTCCACCAACTTCGACTGAGTATGGGCTTTGATCGCAAACCCGTATGGTGTAGTCCATGCCCATGTCATTTTTCAAAAAGTACTTGAAACCAAAACAAAAGTTGCGTGCTGCCCGGGCCAGGGGCGGACGGTCAGGCGTGGCCCACACAGTCTTGCCATCCCGCGTAAGATGAGCATTTCGGACTTTCTTCACTGTGGCGTCCCGGTTCTCTATCGTGTCGAACTCGCAAAATACGATATTGCGGAACTCACCTTTACAATATATGTTTGTCCATGCTGGGGCCCCGATTCGCAAGATCTCATTTTTCAGCCAATCTGACGCCTGATCCAAAGAGTCAAAGCCATCCAAACTACCCACTACCGCTGTGATAGATCTCTTGTCGTTAGTAGGGTTCCCAATGGAAGCTGGATACCCGGTTTGTGACGCTCCTGATGCAGATCTCGGGGTAATCGTTAAATTTACCATGTTCTGTTTCATCTCGTTGATCGCGTTCTCCATGTTGGTGGCTCGTATTTGAAGGTCTTCGATATCATTGGTCACCGTATCCTGGAGTTGCTCGATGTCTTTACGTAATGGGTTCAACGTGTTCTGGAGGTCTTCATGTGAAACGCCATGCTGTTTGATGGCCCGTATGTCGTTCTTGATTGGTTCCAAGTGCTTGTTCAAAATGGCCTCGAAGGTGGCCGCGGTAAGCCCGGCGCCCGACGCTTCCATAAGACTGTCTTGAAAATGTTGTTGGCGTACTGCTGCTGATACATCTGCCCCTCCCTCTGGAAGTTCGAGTGCACCTGCTGCTGGTCGTGATGGTTCCGCAGGTGCTGGTGCTGCCCCGTCCATGCCATCCATCTCGTTCAGCGGGCTGTTCACACGAGCAGTTTTGGCTGCAGGAAGTGCTGCTGGTGAAGTCGTCGGAGAGGCGATGCTGTGCTTCTCTGCCTTGAACAGCTGTCGCACAGGAGTACCTGGCTGGCGCTTGTCGGCACCAGAACCCGAAGAAGACATCGCGGTCCACAGAGGTGGTGTGAGAGTAAAAGGAATTGTAAGAGTGTGAGAGTAAAGGGGATTGTAGAGTGTGAGAGTAAAGCGCTTGAGGGTGTTCGGGTGTTAGGGTTAGTGTGTTCGGGTTTTCGTGTTAGGCGTAGGGTGTCAGGTTTAGGGTGTCGAAGTTCGGTTGTTAGGGTTAGGACTGGGCGGCAGGGTTCCGGGGTACGGTTCTGGAGCTACGGGGGTGGCGTGGCCAAGGGGGGAGTCTGATTTTCGAGTCCAAAGGGGGGGAGGGGTTCAAACCACCCCTCTCCCTTTTAAAGGGGGAGGGGTGCCCGGGATGACGGATCGGGAGAGTGGGGTGTGAGGGGGGCCAAGGACGACGGACAGGGGAAAGGGGGGGGGGAGGGTCCCAGACCCCGCCCCCTTTGCGGCATCCAGCGGCGCGCCCTCTATGTTTCTGCCGCTTCCTCTCCTCCGATGTCGCAGGGTGCTTGTGACGTGGGCCCCAGGGATCTCGACCTCTTCCCGGGGCTGGCTGCATCATTATCATCCCGCGCGCACCGCTCTTCACAGGGGGGGGCGTCGCGCACGGCCGTCCGTTTCGCCAGGTCGCGGGGCTGCTCCATTCGGAGCACCTCCTGCGACTCGTCACCAGCGGCGGTCATTTCCTCAACCTTTGCGCACTTGCACATCCACGCGCCCCCCCCCCCCCCCTGGGGTCCAAGCGCCTGCAGGCGCCACCAGCGCGCGCTCCAGCCCGGAGCCCGCGCCTGAGCCCGGGCCAGGCCCTCCCCCCTCGGGAGAAGCTCCCCAGCTGCGGGGGCGCCCCAGCGAGGGGCGCAGCGGCCCGCGGAGCGCTGGCGAAGCGCGGCGGCTCTTGAGAGGGCCACCCCTCGCCTAGCAGGAGGCCTTCCGCCCCTGCCATCTTCCAGCGGGAAGCGCTACTCCGCGTTTCTCGCTCGGCACGGTGGTTCGCCGTGCGTAGTAGTTGGGGCCGAGTTCGCTTTGTCCGAGCTCGGGGGGTAGTGGCTGGGCCACGGCACTGCCCCGCGTGGTTTCCCCACGCTGGAGGAGGCGTTGGAGCACGTCGCCTCTTGTTATCCGGCTCAGTGCCAGGACGCGCGCGGAATCTGCGAGATTCCCATGCGGTTCCTCTGATAGCGGGCCGTGGCGCCGCAGCCGCGGCGGCCTCGCGCGGAAAAGCCGACGGCGAAGGCATGGGCGGCGAGGGCGCCCAGCACGACCAGGAGTTCTCACGGCGGCGTCCCTCACGGAGGATTACGCGCGCCTCGAACTCCCGCTTCGCAGCTTGCTCATCCCCGTCGCGCTGATCACTTCGGACGACCCCCTGGTCACGGCCCTTCCCGCGGATGTCTGCCCTTGGCTGACTCCGCACCTCCACCCGCTGGCGGATGCGGCAACGGGCCTGCCGGCTGAAGATGGCGTGCAATTAGCGCTGGTGTTCGCGAGCGTTGCGCCGAGTGGAGGAGCCTGCCCCCAGCCCTGTTCAAGCGCAATGTGGGCGTCCGACGGCCGTGGGCCGGCGTCAGAGGGGCTCGACGGCCTCCCGTGCCCCGAGGTCGTCGAGGCCCCGGCCGAAGGGCTCGCGCTGCGCGACAACGCCCTCCCGCCGACCGAGGCTACCGCGAGCCCCGTCGAGCTGAAAGACGCGCTGGCACGCGTTCTCTTCGAGGGGCCGCGTGCGGGGCACAAGCATTGGCAGTTCCACCCAGCCGAACTGGAGTCGGAAGGACCGGCGCCGGTTGCGTCGCGGCGGCCCTTGTCTCGCCCTTCGCCAAGGTGACGGTCAGGCCAGAAGCACGCGCTGCCCGAAGAGCGGCGTCCGCAGGAGGGCGGTGGCGCAGGCGAATGGCGCGCTCCGGCTGCAGGCCGCGGCGTCGCCACATTGGGCGGCGGCCTGCCGCCTCCCAAACGCAGCGCGGACCTGTGCGCGCTCACGCTGGAGCGCATGACGGGCGTCGAGTCGTCGGTGATCGCCATAGGGGGGCGCGTGCGCAACGTGGAAGAGACCCCAGCCACGCGGCCGCCGTCGGAGAGTAGGCTCGACGAGAGCGCAGGCGGATTCGCGCGCGCTGGATTTTGCCCCCGATATTCCGGCGCCCAGGTCGTCCCCGCTGCCGCCGGTAGGCGCGCAGACAGCGAAGCGGCTGGAGTTGCTTCGCCAGATGGCAGGGCCCCGCCGCGCCGGGAGTTCTCAAAGGCCGCGCCGGCGGGCCCAGCGTCGGCCCCGAGGGTTGCAGTCCAGTCACCGCCCGCGATGGCCGCAGCGGGGGCGCTGCCCTTTTAGGCGCTGCAGGCGGAGCTTGCACGGCAAAGCTTCGCGGCTCAGGATGGGATTCCCGTCGGCCTCGTCCCTCTGCAGTTGGTCGAAGCAACCCTCGCAAGGCGCGGAGGGTTGGCCCTCCAAGCGCAAGCCGAGCAGCGGCCGGCGACCCCAGAGGCGGCAGCGCCTCGAGGCGCTGCCGCCTGTTCAGGCATTCGCGCATACAGCGGGCGCGAGCGAGTCGACGTCGGCGTGGATGGTGGCCTCCATGGCCGAGCAGTCCAGGCTGCTGCTGCCAGAAGTCTCCAAGCAGCTCCAGGCGCCAAAGCAGCCCGATTCAATGTCGGCGCTGGCCTCTGCCCCACAGGATTCGGCGCTCTCTCGGATTCCAGGGACCCGCGGGGCGGCGGCGCGCGAGTTCTTGGGGCGGAAGCTCGAGGCCAATCCCGGCCTCTTCTCGAAACGGGTCGAGGCAACCGTCTCCAAGGCGCGCGACGGCCTTTGGGTGAGGCAAGAACTGCGATCCTCATCTGTCGAGTTTTCGGCGGAGTTGACGCTGTTCAGCCCTGCGCGCATGATCTTGATCTACCATCTACCTCGCTTCTGTGATCGCGAGGGATTTCGACGAGCTGGCCGCGGGCGCGCGCGCCCAGCGCAAGGGTGCCCGGGCCAAGCTGAGGGCGGCGGTGGAGCAGATGTCCAGGGGGGCGGCGAGGCAAGGGCAGCGCGGCCCTTGGCCCGCCTGCCCGATCCCCCCTGTCCCAGGCTTCTCTCGCTGAGCCTTCTCGGGGCTCGCAGCGACTTTGCGGCGCTGACGGATCCTCGATGGGTCGCGGCGGCAATGGTTTTTTCGCGAAGGCCGTCAAGACCACGGGCGAGATGCGCCGCAAGAAGCGCTCGGCATTTCATGCGGACGAAGTGACGGCGAACAAGATGCGGCGCCGACCGCCCAAAATGGGGGCGACGCTGAAGACGTGGGCGGCGGGCCTGAGGGGGGGCCTCTGGCGGCTTGCCTCGCGCGCCGCTGCCCACGCCCGCGCGCCTGCGCCCCCTTCATCTGTGCCGCGCGCCCGGCGCGCGGCAGCGCTCGGCGCGCGCCCTTCGCGGGGGGGGGATTCCAATCCTGAGCTAGCATTGATTCTCCCAGAGGCTGGGGAGCCGCCGTGGGGGGCAGACGACGTTGAACAAGTTTTGGGGGCAGACAACGTTGAACAAGAGGCCGTCACGACTTGTTGAGACGTTCGGATTCGTTTTCTATTCCAAAAGTTTCCTTCCAGGCATGGGCACCGTCCAGGCCTCCGTGGGGGCCGGGGTGCCGACGGTGGTCACGCCGGTGTGGGCAGACCAGTGGAACGTGGCCGCGAGGGTGGCGGAGCTGCGGCTGGGCGCGCGCACGCAACAGACTCTGTCGAAGGTCACCCCCAGTGACCTGGGGGAGAAGATTCGTGAGTGCTGCCAGGATCCAGGCCTCCTAAATGGGACCCGCGTAGATGGTATCGGAGGATTGCGCCGCACTGCCGACGCATCGTGGATGCGGCGGAGCCCGATGTAATCCACGCCAGTGTCGCCTATGCATTGCCGACGTCTCGGGTGCATCGCCGATTCATCGGCGATGTATTGGCGATGTGGCGCGATCTTCCGACCCCATGTGCTCGGGCTCTATTCGGGTGACGCAGGAAACGGGTTCAATTTCGCGGACACTCGCACGTACGCTGCCTACGTATGTTCGCGCGTAAGCGCGCTCGTTTCCAAAATGTAGCGTTCCGCCTGGGTCGCCTGCGTAGGCCACCGCGTGAGGTCGCCATGTCCTCGTTCGTGAGGCCCGTCTCTTTTTTCGCTCGCCTCGGAATGATCCGGTTATATGGTGAATCACAAAAGTTTCCACTCGTCCTTTATTGAAAGTATGTCGGCGACTACCGCCCAACAGCGTTCAGCAGCGCCAGAAAGCGCCCACTAGCGCCCAGTAGCGCCGAATCACGCCTAACTGGCGCCTAATAGGCGCCCAATAGCGCCAACTAGCGTCATCTTAGGAGGATGCATGGTGTCCGCTTTGCGCGCGACTGGGCGCCCTATTGGGCGACCAAAAGATTCCGTGAGTTGCCTTCTAATTCCGAGGACGCGGAGATGCGGAAGAACGTGCGGCGGGCCTCGGAGGCCATGGCGGACGAGGACGGCGTGGGCTCGGCCGTGAAGGAAGTGGAGGCGCTCCTGCGGGACGCGCGGGCTGGGCGGTGGGCCCGAAGGAGCGCAGCGCGGCGGGAGGCGCTGCGGGCGAGGTACGGCAGGATCGGCGGCGAAATCCGAACTCTGTCCTCGCCTATCAACGATTCAGGCAACTCGATGGGCGGGAGGGGTAGGGTTCGGCATTCGTCGAACACGTGGCGAAATCCTAGTCTGTATGCCCCCGCCTCCCAAGGATTTAGGAGAATCGATGGCTGGTGGGGGGGAGGGTTCGGATGTCGCCACGTGGCAGGAGGAGGAGTCTCGGGGCCAACGCCGCCCTGTCGATGTTCCACCTCGAGTTCGCCTCGCGGCACCCGCAGCTGAGGGCGCTCATGGAGAGGAAGCGACGCCGATGCCGCTGCTCGTCCTAGAAAGCCCTTGTCGCCACGGCCGGATTCTTTTCGATCCCCTGCCCAGAGGGCATCCTCATCCTGGGAGACCCAGCCCCTCACGCGTCGTGAACACAACATGCCTGGAGCGTTTCTTGATGTTTTCGGCCTTTTGGGGCCTCCCCATGGGTCTGAGGACCGTCTCGAAACTACCCAGGATTAAATTATGGTCCCAGGTAATGTGTCGAGACCTCCGCGACGTCGGGGGGTCTGGGATCGCCACAGGTGAATCCTCTTCGAAATTTTGGTCAGACGGTACTCTGGGATCGGTCTGTGGAGCAGCGGCACCGGTACGTATGTGTCTGCGCCCCCCAGGCGTGGGTTGAGAGGGAGGATGCGAGCCTGCTCCGCTGCGCGGAGGCCCTCCGGGGAGGCAGGCTCTTCGTGGTCGCGTCCAGGTCCGGGCTGCTCGTCAGGGAGTCGGCCGGGCTCGGGTCCCGGGAGCTGGGGCGCCTCGGAGATCGTGGGCGGGAAGCACGCCCACATCCACAGCCTCTCGGCCCAGACTCCTCGGCCGCGACCCCACGGGCGCTGGGCGACGTTGCGCGGGTGCCCCGCGCGGGGCGTGTCCGTGGGCCCACGTGCGCTCCAGATTGCTGGACAGCGGATCTTTTCGGTCGCGATCGGTAGCGACTGATGGGCACTCCAACTATAGGCCGCGACCGATCGCGGCCGATCGCAAACTCGGTCGCCACCGATGTTGAAGTAAATCGGTCGCGACCGATATTGGAATTTGACGCACAATCGGCAGCGACCGATCTCATCCGTCGCGACCGGGAAAACCTGGCACCAAGTGATCAGGCCGGGGGGGCGCGCCTCGGTGTCAAGACCGTGGGGGCACGGATAGGGGCACGCTCGTCGCTCGTGAGGAGACTTCTCCCTCGTGGAGCTCCTCGGGCCAGGCGGTGCCGATGCAAGAGCGGGCAGGTGCAGGGTGCACCTCTTGGAGGGCAAGGGGCCCCCCGAGGGCTGGGTGTCCAGGATCGGAGGGCGTCAGGCTACACATCTGCTGTAGGGCTGCGCCGCGCGCTGTGGGTAAGGCTTCGGGTTGCGCATAGACGCCCCCCCTCCCAGGTCGTCCTGGCTGGCCTCGACAGGCCCTCCGAGTAGTCCCGGATGGCCTCAACAGGCCCCCCCGAGTGGTCTGGGGCGGCCTCAACACCCCAGCGCCGCCTTCGGCAGCGCCCCCTGGGGCGCTCCGCGCCCTAGGGTTGGGGGGCCTGTTGAGGCCAACTGGCACTACTCGGGGCCCGTTGAGGCCAGCCGGGACTTCCTGGGGGGGCTGTCTGTGCGCAACCCGGCTGGAAGCGGCACGGAATTGGCCGTCATTGGATAATTTGCGCTGTTTTGAACAGCCGCGATTGTTCAAGGTCGATTGAACGGTGTATGAGGTGTCAGAAGCCACTGCCGACGTCGTCGCGACGTGGACAGTCTGTACATCGATGCTGGCCAGGCCGATCCTGGGCCCAGGATCTGTCTGTTCAGGATACAGTGGGCACGTCAAATGACAAACAGGCCTGCCAGAAGGTGTCCCACGGAAGTTTCTCATCCCCAACGGCCCGACCTTCAAAGGCCGATGAAGACAGTGCTGTGAGATATCTTATTCCCTACCTAGGCTCTGCCTAGAAGGGTTCTTACTCGGTTTGCTTAAAGGGCCGGGCAGTGGGGCACGCCCCGGGCGGTTCCCCCAGTATCCGCCACGCGGTTCCCCCAGTTACGTCCCTTTAGCTTAGCGTTGCTTATCTCATCTTAGCTTAGCTTATTTCATCTTAGCTTAGCTTAGGTTCATTTTAGCTCAGGTTTATCTTAGCTAGCTTACCTTCATTACTTGACCAAGCCCAAGAAGCCAGCGCAGCGTATCATAGCATAGCATAGCATTCCATACCATAGCATAGCATAGCATAGCATATAATAGCGCAGCATAGCATAGCATAGCGCAGCATATCATAGCGTAGCAGAGCATAGCATAGCGCAGCATAGCATAACATATATTGGCATTAGCTTGGCTTTAGATTTAGCTTAGCTTTAGCTTATCTTGGCTTTAGCTTGGCTTTAGCTTAGCTTCAGCTTAGCTGCAGCTTAGCTTTAGCTTAGCTTTAGCTTAGCTTTAGCTTAGCTGTAGCTTAGCTTCAGCTTAGCTTTAGCTTAGCTTACTGTTACTATTAATGCTGCTTTCCCAGGGGCTCCAACTCCTAGGTAGGGTCGCACTGGGATAATTAGCGAGATCTCTTATCAAATGTGCCAATTGCAGTTGTAGCCAGTGTATACCTGGCGTCATCCCATGTCCAGGATGGTCTCCGGGAAGGACGTGCTGAGAGTCGTCAGCAGTGTGCGAGAGGTCGGCCGTGCCAGGCTGGCGCGGATGGGTTTGACCTTCGATGACCTGAGCGGTGGAACCCCTGAGAATTGCGCTGCCCAGTAGACTGCGGTTTTTAGCCCCCCACAGTGGGCCCTGCGGCAGAGCTCGCGATCGCTCTGCCGCGTGCGGCCTGCAATCCGTGAGCTCGCACGCGTTCTTGCGAAGGGTTCGTCGATTGCAGGACGACTTGCGCGCTATAATCACAGTTTTAGTCGTGCCGACGGGTTGCGGGCTTCCGTTTCCAACTGCGACAGCGCCCGCTGGGCGCCGCATTTTCTCATCATGCATGGAGTGTCATTCAATCGGTGCGCCATGGACAGGTGCGTCAGATACTGACTCGGCGCATTTCTCCGCCGCCGCTCACCGTGACCGACATCAGACTCAATTCTCACGTCGCCGTGATGCGTAATGTGTGCGTCACTGGGGATAAGTGTGCGTCGTGTCTGGTTGAAAAAGGGACGCACCCTTCTGAGAGCGCGAGAAGGGGAGGGAGATGTACATATTGTTTGGTATGTGTGTATATGTATGTATATGTATGTTTGTGTGTGTGTGTATATATATATATATATATATCGGAGTAGGCCGGGGGAGGGCCCAGAACTGCTGCCTCTGGATCGTATGGAGGGCCGGGGGGCCTTGAGGGCTCCAAGAGGGTTCAGAAGGGGCCCCTGATCCCCCCAGAGGCTCCCAAGCTGGCCCAAGAGGCTCCCAAAGCGCCCTGAGATGGCCTCAGATCGGCCACGAGCGCTCGAAGACAGCTCAAGACTGCTCCTAGACGGCCACAAAGGCATTCAAGACGGTCCAAGAGACCGCCGAGAAGGCCCTCCAAGGGCAAAAATTAAGCATTTCCTATGTGAAAGCGATATTTCTTGGATATTTGTTTTTCAGTCCTACCAGCGGCCGCGACGGCCCCAGAGGCTCCCAAAATGAGCCCCAGACGGCCCAAGAGGCCGCCAAGAGGGCCCCCAGAGGGCCCTCAAAGGGCCCCAAGACGGGCTCAGGTCCCCATGGCGGGCGAAGAGGGACCCGGAACGGCCGAACTGGCCCCCCAGAGGGTCCAAAAAAGATTTGCCAGACGGTCCAGGAGGCCGTTGGGAAGGCTCCCGGGTGCGAAAAACAAGCGCTTCCCATGGAAGCAAAACATTTCTATGATATTCGCTTCTTATGTTCCATCGGCGGCCACGTCGGCCCCAAGGGCTCCCCAAATCGGCGCCACGGTCCACGAGGCCCCCAAGATGGCTCCAAGACAGCCTCAAGAGAGCGTCGAGCAGAGCAAGAGAGCTCCAAAACAGCCCGAGAGAGTCCCCAGGGGGCCCGAAAGAGCCACCGGAGGATCCCTACATGGTCGGAGAGGGCTCCATGAGGGCCCCCAGACGGCTCAGCTACCCATGACATGCCAAGAGGGGCTTTGGACAGCCGAATTGGGCTCCAAGACGGGCCACTAAAGGCCCAAAATGACCTCCCCACGACTGTCCAAGAGGCCGCTAAGAAGGCCCTCCAAAGACAAGAATCAAGCATTTCCTTTTGGTGAAAACGGATATTTCTGGGAGCTTCGTTTTTAGTTCTACCAGCGGTCGCGACGGCCCAAGAGGTTACCAAAATGGGCTCCCGACGGCCTCAGAGGCCCCAAAGAGGGCTCCAAGGTGGGCTGAAGAGAGGTTCAAGTGGCACAGAAGAGCTACAAGACGGCCTAAGAGAGCCCCCAGGAAGCCCGAGGGGGCCACCAGAGGATTCCTACTTGGTCGGAGAGTGCCCCAGGAGGACCCCAAGACGGGCTGAGCTCCCCACGACGAGCCAAGAGGGACCCAGAACGGCCGAAATGGGCCCTCAGATGGGCCAGCAAAGGCCCCAAAGGACTCCAAAGGAAGGCCCAGAGAGGCTCCAGAGATTGCCACAATGCTTGCCAAAAAGGCTCCAGGCATGCGGTCCAGTAGGCACCCGTGCATTGGGTGCGTTAAGAGAAGAGAGGAGGAGGACAAGGAGGAGGAGGAGCAGGAGGAGGAGGAGGAGGAGGAGAAGGAGGAGGCGGAGGAGGAGGAGGAGGAGGAGGTGGGAGCAGGAGGAGGATTTTTTGTTTGACACGGCCATGACTGACACAACTGATTCTCTGGCTCGGGGAGGGATGCTGAGAAGAGGGCTCGAGAGGAGGAAGGAGGTGAAGTAGGTGAAGGAACATAAGGAGGGACACACCGAAGAGCGGGGAAGACAGGGAGGAGGAGAAGGAGGAGGAAGAGGAGGAGGAGGAGGCGAAGGAACAGGGATCCCTTTCAGGGGAACGCCGACGAGCAAAAATATGAATATAAGATGATAGGGGAGAGGGAGAACGGGAAGAGGAGGAGGGCAAGGGGACTGTAGTGGACCGGGGATGATGACGGCGATGACGCTGATGATGATGACGATGACTGTGCCGACGACGCCGACGACGACCAACAGGATGTTGATGATGCGGATGACGATGCTGAAAAGTACGATGACGATGATGGCGATGGTGATCACGATGTTGATGATACGGGTGATAATGATGATTGTTGTGATGGTGAAGGTGACCATGACCATGACGATGACGATGAAGATGACGGGGATGCGGATGACAATGATGACGATGATCATGACCCTAGCTAGAACTTGAGCGCGCGCGAAGCGCGCGATGGTTCTGTATATCTACCTATATATATATATATATATATATATATATATATATATATACATACATACATATCGGAGAAGGCCAGGGGGGGGCTGGGCCGGTGCATTACCCCCCCATGGGGTATTTGGGGGGTTCCAGGGCTCCCGGGACTGCCCGGGCCCGCTCCCAAACACGCCACGACACGCCAAGAGAGCCCTAAAGATTGCCAAGACAGCTCCAAGAGGCCCTGGACACGCCGAAGATGGCCTCAGGACGGCCGACGACGCCGCTAAAACGCCCCAAGAGCGCCTCCAGAGGCCCCTCCAGAGGGCCCCAGAAGCCGATAATCATAAATTGTCCGATGGTTTTTGAAGCATTTTTGCGCTCTCGCGTGTTCCGCCTCCCCACGGTCCCAGACGGCATCAGAGGCCCTTCAGATCGCTCCAAGACGGCCGAAGAGGCTCCCAAGAAAGCCCAGAGATGGCCCAGGAGTCTCCCCAGATAATTCAAGAGTGCCTCGAGAGCGCCCGAAGAGAACCCCAAGAGCGACGCAAGAGGGCCCGAAGAGCGTGACATTTCAAGGTCTCCGGCCTGAGAGGCTCCTAGGACTCCCTGAGGCCGTCAAGAGGCTCCCAAGAATCCCCGTGAGGCTCCCAAGAGCCCCCCCCGAAGCCCCAATAGGCCCCCATGTTCTAGGGCCCCCCAGGGAAGCTCCCTGCGGGCCCCCAAGAGACCTCGGTAAATCGTATTTTCCAGACAGCTTCCCGGGAACATGATTCCTTGGGCTTCCGCCCACCGCCCCAACCATGTTTCCAATAGGCTTGTCGACAAGGCCAGAAAGGGCCTCTCGGTAAGCCCCCAGAGGCCCCCCTCTGAAGAGAGCCGAACAAATCATGCTCCCAGCAAGCTTCCTGGGAACATAATTCTCGGGTTGCCGCCCTCTGCCCAAACCATGTTCCCTAAACGCCTGCCAGGAAAGAATACCGAGAGTCCCAAGCAGCGCTACATGCCGCCACGCTCGGAAACGCGTCAGGCCCCGAAGCCTCCGGAGGCGCCCAACGACACCCCAACAAATCATGTTCCCGGGAAGCCTTCCGGGAACGTGATTCCTCAGGCTTCCGCCCCCGGCCCCACCCATGCGTCCCAAAATGCTTGCCGGGCAGCCTTCCCATGGGCCCTCATAGACGCCATCATGTTACCAGAAAGCATTCCGATAACATGATTCCTCAGACTTCCGCTCCCTGCACGCAGCATCTGTCCCAAAGCGCCTGTCAAGCAGGACTCGAATGGGCCCTCAAGTACTTTCCTAGAAGCCCCACAAGTTGCTGATGATGACGATGATGATGATGAGCCTGGTGGAGGCGGTGCCTCTGGCGCAGCTGCAGCCCGCACACCTCTGGCTGCCGCTGCCGACCTGAGCAAGCCTCTCCAGCGGCCGCTCATACAGAGAAGCTTTTCAGACATCCGGGGGCCCACGCGTCTAAAAAGTCAGAGCGTTGGACGCCTGAGCTCTGGCGGAAGCGCGGCAGAGGGACCTCCTCATCCCTCGTCTTCTCTCCAATTCTTCCTCCTTTCACTTCCTCCATCCTTCTCATTCTTCCTTGTCCTCCTCCCCCTCCCCCTCCCCCTCCTTATCCCTCTTCCTTCCACCTCCTCGTCCCTGCTCCTCATTCCCCTCTCCCCCCCTCCTCATCGCTCTCCTCCTCATCCCTCCTCCTCATCCCTCCTCCTCATCCTCCCCCTCTTCCTCCTGTTCCCACACCTCCCATCCGGCTGCCTGTCCTGAAGCTCACCACCGTGCCAGTCTGGCATTCTCTGCGGCTCTCGTTCGACGAAGCACCGGAGGCCTCACTGGCGAGGGGCGAGCAATATGAAAACGATGATGATGAGGATGATGATGCTGCTGATGATGATGGAGATGGTGATGCTGATGATGGTGATGACCACGACGATGATGCTGTTTATGGCGATGCTGCTAATGATGATGGTGCTGATGGTGATGGTGATCATGATGATGCTGCTGATGATGATTATTTCGATACCGGTGACGACGATGCCGATGACGACGATGATGATGATATTGATGATGGTGATGACGCTGATGAAGATCATGATAATCATGATGATGATGACAACGACGGCCACGATTGTGCCTGTGGTTCTGGTGATGATGATGATGGTTATCATGATCATGATCATGATGATGATGATGATGATGATGATGATGATGATGATGATGATGATGATGATGATGATGATGATGATGATGAATATGATGATCGTTGGGTAATCGTGAGAGGCCTCTCGGGACCCTGTTGGAGGCAGTTTCGATGCCTCCTGGGGGCCAAGTGGGAGCCTCTTGGAGGCCTCTGCGGAACCTTTTGCGCTTCTTCGGGCCTCTTCGGGCCTCCTCGGGGCCTCTACAGCCGGAAGGCTCCAATTGTCAGTTGATGATTTCCCTTCTTGAACAGTTTTTGGGGCCGTCTTGGGACTCCCTTGGGCTGTTTTCGGAACTTCTGAGGCAGTTTTGGGGCCCTCCTGGGCCGCCTCAGAATCCTCTCGGGGGCTTCTTGCAGGCCTCTGGGGCCGTCTTGAGCGCCAGAAGGTTGAAAAAACGATACCGGAATAAGCATCGAACACGTATTGGAAATCAATACTTGTGCTTCTTTGGCCCTTCATGGGGGTCCTCTTCGCGCGCTCTTTGGGCTTCTTTGGAACCTCTTGGGCCGTCTTGGGGGCATCATGAGCCATCTTGGCGGCGGAGGAGGCCTCCCAGGTCCGTCTGGGAAGCCATGCTGGGCACTTCAGGCGCTTTCAACACCGCCGAGACA